GCAAGAGTTAACTTGACCATTTTGGACGGACTGTTGGTAATAAAACTACCTATTATATGCTATCTATTCTATCTATTGATAATTTTAGTTTGACCGTTTTTGGTCACAGTCAGTAAAACAGTAAGCCTTAAGAATATACCGACCAGGCCAGCACATGGAAACATCAAAGAAGCGACTGAAGACCGAGCCCGAAGCTGCCTTATGTGACGATTATATTGAAATTGAAGCCCAGCTGTCGTATTCAACTATTGTTATCGCCGTCATTTCAAAGGTATTCACCGTATTGAAATCAATATCTCCAACCTTTCTTGGCTTAACGTTTACTGTGTCTCATCTCAACTTATCTACGGCTTCTTGTGTAACAGAGGCCGCAGTGAGTGATTAAAAGTTTCACGCCATCCATCAGTCAACTTGGGAATTTTATTTATGGCTTCGAGTTTCTACTGGTCACAACAGGCAATAGCATATTTCAGACTTCTTCCTCCGGAGATTTTTATATAAAGGTGTCAACCTGGTCGCGGAGTGTGCAACCAGCCATGCTCAACCGGTTTACTGCCAACGGTCGACCTCTCCCGCCTGCCTTTGGCACCATAACCTTGCCAGAATGCGTCGATTTTCATACAACCCACAATCCCAACGAAACCCTCTACATCTTCAACGAGGACGGAAGCTCTGAGATTACCAGAATCTCCTATCTCGAATTTGGACGCGCCTGTGATCGTCTTGCACATCATATTCGACCTGCTCGACAAGGTCCTGACAACGTCGTCGTCGCCATCGTCGCCCTCTCTGACACTTTGCTCTACCATGCCGCATCGGTGGGCGTTATTCGTGCGGGCTTGCGAGTTGAGTCTCATTTTCACACTTTATGGTCACAACACTCACAAAGGCATTCCTTGCAGCCGTTCCTTATGTCTCCAAGAAATACTGCGGAAATGATTGTTAAGATGATGAGCGAAACATCTTGCCACAGAATCCTCACCACTGAGAAAACGTTGCAGGGACTTGTTGACAACGTACGAGCTCTGTATGCGAGCAGCCACCCTTCGGGGCCTCACCTCATCGTCGACGAGATGCCGCCACTCCTTGAGATTTACCCCCGGCTTGGTTGCGAATCTGTTGAAGACCCATTTGAACCGTACCCAAAGCCTTCTGCTAAGCCCTCTCTCGACGATGTTATGATTTATCTCCATTCATCGGGTAGTACGGGTATGCCCAAGACTATCCCGCATACTTATCGTTCCTTTATTCATTGGGGAAGCTTCGGTAAGCATACCTGACATATCAAGCTGAAGTATTGGGCTTACTTGGGGCATACTAGTGCTGATCGACGACATTGCAAAGCAAACCCCTCAAGTAATTTTGGGGTGCATGCCACTACCCTGCTTCCACACCATAGGCGTCATGACCCAACTCATTCAGCCGATGTATTCGCTGGTGATAAGTGCCATATACCCCCCTACAGCGACCACGCAAACATCGACACCGATCACTCCAACCCCAGACAACATTCTGGACCATATGCGCAGAACCAATACCAACGGGATGATCACAGTTCCAATGTTGATTGGTGCCTGGGTCCGCGATGCAGCAAAGCTGGAGTACCTTGCAAGCATGTCATTTATTGTACGTATTCGTATTTTGGAAGGTGGTCGCTTCGTATAAATCTCGGGGAGATGTTGATCCGCACTGTTTCAGATCTACAGCGGCGCACCTATGCCACCGAAGGTGGGGAACCTTCTCACCAAAGCAGGTGTCAGGCTTAGCACGATATACGGAGGCACGGAGTTTGGATGCCCCAGTATAGTCTTCGCAAATTTAGACGAACCGGAGGGCTGGGAGTATGTTGCCTTTGACAGAAACGTCAACATCAGATGGGCCCCTCAAGGAGATGGCACATACGAATTGCAATTTCTTGTTCGTCGTTTCCCTTGCCCCTGATAGACTTTATCTCGCAACTGACGCCGACATAGACCTGTGACTATCACCATTTGGTCGTCGAAAATATGGGTAACGAACGAGGGTATGCGACGTCTGATTTATGGGTCCCACATCCTACTGATCCCACGCTGTGGAAAACGTGAGCATGAAGCTACGAGAACGAAGCATCTCTCACTCAGCGACGTCTGTTCCTTAGTGTTGGACGCAAAGACGACGTCATTATGCATACTTCTGGAGAAAAGACGGTCCCAGCTCCTATGGAGAACATAATCATAACAAGCAGCTAGTAGGTCTCGAGCGCTCTATCACGGACCATCATACTTACTTACCGTCAGTGTTCGAGCGGCAGTTTACTTTGGACGTAACAAAGACCAACCAGGAGTCTTAATTGAGATGGCGGAAGGGTATGTCATTGACCCGACCAACCCATCCGACGTCACTCAAGCAAGGAATATTGTCTGGTAAGTTTTAAGAAGATCCCGCAGATATTCTTGTGCACTGTTCTTATTCTGACGGCTTCCAGGCCCATCGTTGAGGAAGCTAACAAGCTCGCACCTGGGTTCAGCAAAGTATTCAAAGAGCTTATACTCATTTCCTCTCCTTCTAAGCCGCTTCCACGGGCTGGAAAGGGCACCGTCATGCGGAAGGCTGCGTTGGTATTGTATCACGATGAAATCGAAGCAATGTCGGTCACCTTTGCATGCTCTCTTACGAGTCTTTTGTTATATTGAACCTCTTTACCAACCCTTTCTAGCTACACAGGAGTTGACACTGTGTCTAGTACTCAAAACGTTAGCCCACCGGAGGACTGGAGCACAGATAATATTGAGATTTGGTTGACCAAACAACTCGAGGACATAGTTCCTGAGAAGAACTTTGTGGCAACGACTAATTTAGTGGACCACGGTCTGGACAGGTAAAGCTTTACTCTTCTCCAAGATACGTTATTGACGTTTTCTTCTCTTTGCGTAGTTTGGGGGTGACGATACTGAGACGTCGAATCAGCGCAGCCCTTCGAGCATCTCAAGGGCCAGAGATCGCGAATCAAATACCAGCCGAAGCAATTTACCAGCATCCTTCACTGGAGGAGCTCTCCGCTTTTATATCCAATCTTGTCGCAGACCCCACAATAACTCTTGCACCTATAAACCGCGTCGATGCGGTGGAGCAGATGATTGAGCGACATAGCCGCGGACTTCGTCTGCCTGTCCCTCCTTCGGGTAACACTTCTGGAAAGATATGCGTCCTCATCACAGGAACCACTGGCAGTCTTGGCGCTTATTTATTGAACACTTTTCTTCATAACCCAGATATCCATACCATCTACTCTTACAACCGTCCCTCTGTGAAGCAGTCTATATTTCAAAGGCATCACACCCGCTTCCTGGAGCTTGGACTAGATGCTGCAGGCTTGAGATCCCCAAAGATTGTGTTCTTGGAAGGAAGTCTTACCACACCAACGTTGGGGTTGTCTCAGGAGGTTTATGCCGAGGTATGCATATTTTACGCACTATTATCGACGACGTCACTGAAACCTTTATACAGCTACTGAAGAATGTCACAATCATCGTTCATAGCGCCTGGACAGTCAATTTCAATTTACCACTATCCTCATTCGACTCAAACATTGCGGGAACACGGAAGCTACTTGACTTAGCGAGAGCCTGTCGACACGGATCATCGACACGTTTTATCTTCACGTCATCCATTTCTTCGGCGGCATCGTGGGACCAAAACCGAGGGCCATACCCAGAGGAAGTCATCCTGGATGCTAAATACAGCGTCGGGACAGGTTATGGAGAAAGTAAATATATCTCTGAAAGGGTACGGGCGGTCTCTTCTACTTTATTGTTCCAAGGCGCTAAATTATCACGCAGATGCTCAGTATCAGCGGTATTGAAGCAACGTCAGTCAGAATCGGACAGATTTCTGGTGGTCAGCCCAATGGTGCATGGCCGACAACTGAATGGTTCCCAATCCTCGTCAAGTCCAGTGTCGCGCTTGGTGTGATTCCTTCTATGCCTCGGGTTGGTACCTTTCTTCTATTATCATGACCTATTTTGATATACATTATAACAGATTACTTCTTGGATTCCTATGCACGCCGTTTCGCGGGGCATACTTGATATTGCGTTGTCTTCTGAGGTGACCCCTGCTTATAATTTCGTACATCCAAGACCCATCGAATGGGAGGCGCTCGTTCAGCATATTGGAAATGCCCTCGTACATTACGGTCTTACGAGTTCTCCCCTCCCCCTTGTCTCTTACGATGACTGGCTCTTCCTGCTTGAAGTCCGTGTGTTGAGCGCTACACCAGAATTGATGCAACAAATGGTAAGGCAGCCAAAGTTCCACGCCCCGTACACAGACTCATCTTTCTATCAATAGCCGGCAATCAAACTTTTCGACTTCTTCTGTGGACTCAAGCCGTCCATGGTAGATGGGCCTGCGTTAGATGGCGCGGTAAAAAAGGCTAGATGTAGTGCGACATTTGCGACATACAAGGCGCAGCAAATTAGCGAAGAGATCGCATACCTTCCACCACTATCCAGCGACGACGTATCGCTCTGGGTTAGATACTGGAAGTCAGTGGGTTTCATTGCTCAACGCAGTTGAATCTCTTCATGGTAATAGAAACCCCAATATCCCACATTTGTTACTTTGAATTGTGTACGATAGTTCTGAGTTGTACATCTATCAATATGCAAATATAATTTTCTTAACTACCAGAACATGAATACGGTGTTGTACCCGCTAGCGAAAACAAAACAGCAGCGCCTTAAACTCAATAGAGTGCGGCAATCGACGGGCGCCTAACCGAAGTAACGCAGTGGCCATGTGGCGAAATGGCATCGTGTCTGACTAGGACTCAACGCGAATCAGGAGATTGCAATTTTGACCCCTGTCTTGGTCATCTCTTTTTTCTTCCAGTAGCCATCCCATCTTCAACCCGCGTTTGAAAGCTCGAATGGCTGAACCATTTTGCGTGTCCGGAGCACAAGTTTTATCCGGGCCCACGATTGGCCTGCGATATTGGCGCCGGAAGCTTTAATTCACATGGCCGTGTGGCGAAATGGCATCGCGTCTGACTACGATCAAATGCGCATCAGGAGATTGCAGGTTCGACCCCTGTCTCGGTCATACTTTTTGTACTGCTAGAACAGTTCGCTGAGCGACCTGACTCGTTGACGCCCATGGCCAAAAAGAGTCCATCAACCGAATGCGACAAGGGTTGCATGTTTTCTTGGAAATGACGAATGTATGCGTTCGCGAACTTCCTGCAACTCGCTCAATACAAATACCTTTTCATCATAGTGCATGGAAATACAGCACAAACATATCAAACAAGCTACAGAATATACTTAAAATCTGGGTGACGATCACCCAATTCAATCCGTGCTTTGGCTTCGTCATAAGTACTCTTTTCATCGTCCTTTTTATACGGCTTCAGCAGCTCATCCCTTCGAGCGACCTTCAGCCTGTTTTGACGTTTCAGGTAGATCATGTTGGCGAATGATAAAAGACCCGTTACCGCCGCACTATGATAATGATGAAGAGGGTATGAAAGCATTCAATGGTTCCGTCCACGAATATACGATCACGACCAACTTACAACGTTAGGGTCATTATCGTGGTCTTGGTGAATCTGGGCCCTTCCTTGGTAGGAAACCTCCACGTGCTCAAAATCGTACCCTAGGCCATTCAATCCGTCAACAATTCCCCGAGAATGATAGTGAATTGCAAGGAGTACTTACGGCACCAGAAGAGAAGAAGCACAACGCAATTGTTGTCGCTCTGCGATAGTGAGGCTCAGAATTGTTGGATGCCCATCCGGCACCGAGGGGGACCATGGGATACGAGCCAGACACCAGGAAAAAGAGAGAGCCGTACAACGTGTACTTGTCGCGTGAGCCTACGAAAGATGACGTAGTGGTCAGCGTCAGGTGAAGTTGTTCTAACAAGTGCTTGACGCGGGAGGCCAAGACGTGGATTGAACCACTCACATAAGTAAATGATATATCCGATGCACGCCACCACCGCAAGGATAATCATGGGTATACCACGACTCTTGTGCTTGTCAGAATAGTATGAGACCAGCAAGGTAACTAGAAATGGCCGCTCAATGAAGTGAGTGGAAACACGAGCGAATGAACACACAGAAGAATGCAGCTCCGAAAGGACCGACACTCAATAATTGAGATTTAACTGGGCTGAAGCCAAGTTGCCTTACGATCGAGGGGAGGAAATTGGCAAGACCAAGAACATTCGACCCGGAGCAGAAGAACATGAGTGCTACCATGATGACATGGGGAGACATCAGCGACTGAACGACCTGCTTGATGCTGAATGTGTCGATATGTCTATCCAGGGGGTTCTCGCGTTTAAGTCGCCGGTAAATCGCACTAGTTAGATGGTGAAATGAATCTTTCTGCCAATTGCATGATAAAGATCTAGATGTTATTGACTCACTCTTTTTCCTCCTGCGTCAAAAATAGGGACTCGTTGGGGGTTCTTGGGATGAGCCAAAATCCGGTTATTCCAGCCAAGACCGTGATGATACCTTCCTGTATGATGTGAGTACCGCTGACCCTCCAAAGAAGCATACGGAGGATAAATTTACAATGATAAATATCCAAGCCCACCCAGCTAAACCTCCAACTCCGTGCAGGTTAGTTAAACCAGCAGCCAGAAGGCCAGAAAATGCACCAGACAGCTACATCGAGTAGAATCATGAATTACGACTCTGCATACCATGACGGAGTACATGTGGTGACGAGCTTACAGAAGCGGTCGAGAAAAAGAATGCTATTCTGTTGAATGAAAATGTGATAAGGTAGGGTTTGGGCAACTACGCACAATCGCTAGTCTGCACTCACCTCATTGAAAGCTCCCGGCGGGGATAGAACCCGGAGAGATAAAGCACCAACCCAGGGAACAAGGGTCCTTCAAGTGCGCCAAGGAGAAGGCGAATGACAACGAGGTGAGCGTAGGTCTTCACAAAGCCCTGTGCTATCACCACAATACCCCAGGCGGTCACGATAAAAGGAAGCAAGATGTGCGGTCCAATACGTCGTAGTAAAAGGTTGGAGGGGATCTCGAATGCCATGAAAGTGCTGAATGACGATCGTCAATCATGATACAGGGATACAGCCCTCATTGACGTACACATAAAGAATCGCAACACAAATTTGGTATTTATGATCTGTGAGGTGGAGGTCGGCCTGCAAGCCCGCGATGCGAGCGTTTCCTGAGAAAAGGGAGGGAGGATTTGATCAGTGAGGTCGAAGCTTTAGCAAGGTGTGAGTGCTTTACCAATATTAGCACGATCCTGAAGAGTATCACGGTGATCAACTGAAGATATTTATGAAGAGATATCTTGGTCTCACCATGAAGTTTAGGAAGTAGAATAAAGCCATCATGGGTAGGATAGTTATGTCGAGTTTGAGAACAGCGCGCCTTTCGATGGCATGGTCGATTGAGTCGGCATCCACGGTGTCATCAATATCGTTTTTAGTACTATTGGAGTGGGTGAGCTTTAGCTCTGGGGCAATATGCTGGTTGGACATAGTTACTCGGGGTACATTCAATTCTTCATCACGCATTTATAACACTGCTCAACGTGAAGAAGCACACGAAAGCAAAGCTGCCGAACCACCTACATGACAAGCGGGGAATCTATGTCATTGAACGATGCAGAGATCAGATCTTGTCAGGGATTGTTCTGGTTTGACTTCAACCCTTGCTAATTGAGAGGACGGATATGGACAGGATGTTGAGTTCAATTGTGTAGCTTTCATCTTGTTCCGCTAGCCTACGTTTCGGTCGCGCTGCTTTGGCATTCGAACCCCGCACAATTCGGATCCTTGGGGAGTATGTGCTTCTCCGGTTTCCTTCAAATTCTCCATTGTAGCATCGTGTTTAAAGTGATATAATTGGGGCCCATGTAGAACGCGAATGCGGTACGGAGGGATTGTGAGTGTTTCATTCCATTACGATATCATATCGCTCGTGGGAGGTAACAACTATCAGGGTTAGCCCTTTTCCACCGGGACATCGTCTTGGGATTCAAGCGATTGGTCACATGTATGGTACATGGAGTTCCTTCGAAGTTCGAAAGGATGGACCGGCGCCGAAATTCGATACCAGGATCTGGCCAGCCGCCAAGTACTTACAATGTCAATCTCCAAACTCGCCATTGGCAGGGACCTGCAGTGCTGCACATATTCCCAACAGGGTCATACGTCGACGTCCTCCTCAGACAATCAATCGAAGCATGTTGGCCTCTTTGGGAAGAATCAAAGGTTTTGGAAAGGATTCGAAGATAATTGCATTACATGTCATGATAAACGTTATGAAAACCATTAAATAAATAAAATCGTCGAAAAATAGTTGCAAGCTGCTTCAGGCTACAGCATGTATTTGAAATCAGGATGGCGATCACCAAGTTCAATCCATGCCTTGGCTTCATCATAACCACCTTTCTCATCATCATTGGCGAAAGGTTTCAACAGCTCCTCTCGTCTGACTTCCTTCAGCTTGTTTTGACGCGTCAAGTAAACCCGTATCGCGAATGCTAGGACACCCGTCACAGCCGCACTATAATTGACACGATCAACAACTATTCGTTGTCTGGCGTTCGTTTGAATGAGGCAAATGACTTACAAGGTCATAGTCATGATGGTGGTATTTGTGAAACGCGGCCCCTCTTTAGTGGGGAATCTCCATGTGCTCAGAATAGTGCCCTGAGACGCAAGAACGCTGGTATCATTTCACCATCAAGTGATAAAATCCAAGAACTTACAGCTCCAGTGAAGAAGAAGCAGAATCCAATCGTGGTGGCTCTTCGGTAGTGGGGCTCAGAGTTATTAGCTGCCCAGCCTGCACCAATTGGAATCATAGGATATGACCCAGAGACTAAGAAGAAGAGGGATCCGTACATCGTATACTTATCGTGTGAGCCTAGGATTTCGGGTTCACGATGATCAGTTGGTTTTTGTTCGAATATGTCTTCTAGAGAATATCCAGTCGGAGATTGAGTTACTTACAGAGATAAATGATGTATCCCACAACTGCAACCATCGAGAGGACAATCAAGGGAATGCCCCGAGATTTATATTTATCGGAATAATATGAAGCGGTTAAAGTCACTAACAGTTTCGGGAGGTCTTTAGCATGGCTGACTGCGCCTATCAGGATGAGAAGTACTACTACTAACCGAAGAAACCCGCTCCGAAAGGACCGACACTGAGGAGTTGAGATTTGATTGGGCTGAAGCCGAGCTGCCTTACAATAGACGGCAAAAAGTTAGCAAGGCCGAGGATGTTCGACCCAGAGCAGAAGAACATGACGAATGCCATCATAACATGGGGAGAGGTGATTGATCGAAGGACCTGCTTGAAAGTGAAAGTATCGACGTGCTTGTCCAGGGGATTTTCGCGAGCCAGGCGGCGGTAGACCGCACTATATATGTGATTAATTGAATAAAATTGGATCAATCGAGGGAAACTCGAATAAGTGGAGGTCTGACGTACTCTCGTTCATCCTGAGTTAAGAACATGGAATCGTTAGGCGTTTTAGGAACAAGCCAGAAGCCTATGATCCCGGCCAAAGCTGTGACAATTCCTTCCTGGATCGATGTTATTGACTATCGATACCTAGTTTGATGATCACAAACTCACAATGATAAAAATCCACGACCACCCCGCTAAACCCCCTATACCATCCATGTTCGCCAAAGCAGCGGCTAGAAGGCCGGAAAATGCACCGGAAAGCTATGAGAAACACGCAACTGTTGGATGCAAGAATCAATCGAGTAAGCTTCGTGGACTTACAGAGGCGGTAGAAACGACTAAGGCAAGTCTGTTGGATGATAAAACCATGAGTATATGTCACTTTGGCTCGAATCATCAAGATGCTCAAGGCGCTAACCTCATCGATAGCTCGCGGCGGGTATAGAACCCAGAGAGGTAGAGAACCAACCCAGGAAGCAGTGGCCCTTCGAGAGCACCAAGGATGAGACGAATAGCGACGAGATGACCATAGGTCTTCACGAATCCTTGCGCCATAACGACAGAACCCCATATTGTTACAATGAATGGGAGTAGGATATGAGGCCCAATCTTTCGAAGCAATAGGTTGGA